CGGCCGGGAGGAACTTCCTTGTTCCCTTTAAAAGGGTGACACTCTCCTCCCCTCCCTACCCATTGCCGCCTACTGTGGTCGATGACCGGAACCGAGTGTACCTGGTTCAAAAAAGAAACATTCACATGACTAGAAATCCTCACAATACCAAAAAACTACCAATACCTACTCCTAGCTATACCAGAACTTGCTCACCTCAGCCACCCTGTGATCTCGAGTCTACCCTGTGGAGAGATCTTAGCCAGCCGACCTTCTAACGCCCAGGTTTCTCTGAACCATTTCAAACCTGACTGCCTGTCTCCCCGCTGAACCCTTCGAACCCAATCGGCTCTGATCTGGGACCTCACCAGGCTTCTGAAGATTTTTTCTGCCTGTGTTTCCTGAACAGGTTTCTCCTGAAATCGCCTTCCATTCCTGTCCAACCAGATGGTCCATAGCATTGCCAATCGGGCCACCTGTGCTATGTACTCCCATCCTTTCCTACCTGCCACGTCAGGGGGCAGAGTTCCTTGCAGGACCCATCTCTTTCCAGTCAAATGTTCTTTACCGGAAAAAGCCATCCAATGTCTCTCCCACCATTTCCACCATTTTTTCGACATCTCACATTCCCACCACAGATGTTGCATTGACTCTGTGGCATTTGAGCATCTGTCACACTGAATTCTTACCTCTATCTGACGATCCTGGAGCCATTTGGCCGTAGGAACAGCCAGATGAGATTGAAGCCAGGCCAAAGAAGCCAGCTTCTGGGACGGGACATCCTTCAGTTGTGACCACAACGTGGACAGCTCCTTTTCAGAGGGTGGCTGTATTTCCGGGCATTGCCGATGCCATCTGTCTGCAATGATTTCGCTGGCGTGCAGCAGCTTACTGCGAATTGCGAGCACCAGTTTGGAGGATAAGTTACTCAGGCCCCAGGTAGGTTCATTGTCCAGTTGCCAACCCCATGTATCCGGGTCTATCTTCATCTCCCGTAGTGGGATTGCCTCAACCACTACAACTAGCACATCTGATTCTCCCGGGGACCTTGGCGGGAGTCGATGTACCCTAATCTCTTCCAGTCCGTTCAATCCATACCTCCAACTGATCCCTGAGATTACTAACTCTGGGAGATTGGGCAACAGAGGTTTGTACACTTCCAACCAGCATTTGCCCGATCCATATTCAAACCATTCCTGTAGCCTATAGAAATTTGTGTCCCCGCTCTGCTTCTCTGTGTACCAGGAATCGACCGGGTTAATCCCCTTTGGGCCCATGAGCGTTACCCAGTCGTCTGGGATGTTGTTCCTGAGTTCCAGGAACCTGGCTTCCTGGTGTGGCAGCTGGCCCAACTTTGTCTTCAGCTGGTCTTCTGAAGTCAAGGAGTTTGTCAGATCATCCCACAGGTCTGCCACCGTGGACACCTCCCGTTGGATACATCTCATCCCGTAGTTCCCTGTCTTGGCGTCCGCTGGGATGGGAAGATCATCCCTGCCTCTGATATACGGGTTATCGAACAGATGTTGTCTTTCGACTTCCGCTTTAGTTATTGGAGTTTTACCCAGCGAGGGTTTCACCTTCTTCCAGGCCGAGATAACGTCCCTCCAAAATGTTGACTTAATGCACTTGTTGATGAAACAGTCGTGAAAAATAGCTACCCACACATCCGATATCATGTTGAGTCCCCACTCCTCCGCTAGCAGCATCTCTGCCATAGCCACCCAGTCCACCTTGTCCCCTTTCTCCGCAACCTTCTCCACCTATTTGCTCAATTGAGCTAAGTTTTGGCTCTCCGGATCTAAGACCCCCAATCCACCTTCCTCCCGAGGTCTGCAGACCACTTCCCATGCCACCTTGGATAAGTATCCTTGGTTGTCCTGGCTATCTGGTTTCCACAAGAAACGACGAGAAGCATCTTTGATTGACTTCATCAGCGCGCCCGATAACTTTCTAACAGTTCCTACATATCCTAGCAGGGCGAACGCTGATGTTTTCAGGACCAGAGCTCTGCCCATTAAGGACAAATGTCTAGCCTTTCCCCAACTGCGGATTCTGTTAGTCAGTTTCTGGGCCAGGATTACGTTTTGTGCCTCAGAACAATCACCCAGAGCAACCTAAACCCCCAAGAATCTTTCCGCATTACCAGCGGATACTCGCTCTATTTCCCATTCTACTGCGCTATTAAATTGGTCTGGGAGGAAGAAAAGGGACTTTTGCCAGTTCACGGTTGCTTCTGAAAGTTCTGCGTAGATTAGTAGACAGTCCTTCAAGGCTTTGAGGGACTCCTCTGTGTTCGCTGAGACGGCAAACAAGTCATCTACAAGCGCTTTAATCTTACATTCCTTTCCGTTCGGAAGACTTAAGCCTCTGTACGCCGCGTTAGTTCTCAAGTTACTGAGCAAAACCTCCAATTGTATCACGACCAATAACGGGGCCAGAGGACAGCCCTGCCATAGGGATCTCGAAAGAGAAAACTCACCTGAAAGGAAACCATTTACACAAACCGCCGCTGTCGCATTACCATATAGGGCCACCACCCATCGGCAAAAACTTATTTCAAAACCCATGATTTTCAGCGTGGTCATCACAAAGGCCCAGTTCACCCTGTCATACGTTTTTTTCCAGGTCTAGCATTAGGACCGAGAAATCGCTGTTATCTCTGTCGATTAGTTCCAATGCTTCAATAGCCGTCACTACATTTTCAAAGATCGAGCGACCCTTAAGAAATGCCCCCTGTTCCTCTCCTACCAAGCTCGGAAGATATCTACCTAATCTTACTGCTAACGTTTTTGCTAGCAACTTGTAGCTTACGTTCAGCAGCGAGATAGGCCTGTAGTTTCGCACCTCGTCCATATCGCCTTTCTTGTATAACAGGGTGATAATTCCTCTGGACATTGTGCGGCCTAACTTTCTCTCTTCCCTGATATTGTTGAACAGTTCCACCAAATCCTCCACTAACATGTCCCAATGGGTTTCAAAGAATTCGATGGGCAAGCCATCGTCTCCCGGGGCTTTCCCTCTAGCCAACAGTTTCATCGTCTGTGTGAGTTCCTTTGTGGATACGGGTTTTTCCAAGTCCAAAATGCCAGCCTGCGACAGTCTGCTAGGAATTTGGTCCCAGAACAGGGATTCCAATGACAGATTTATACCAAAACTTTGTTGTGGGTAACCCAGGACCATTTGCCCTACCGGGCAAAAATAAAATAAAATAAATAAATAAAATTGCCCTACCGAGCAAAAAAAATAAAAAAATAAAAATTAAGAAATTATTTTTTTAACTTTATTTTTATTCAAATTTTGGTAACGAATTTAGATGTGACCCTGAGGCGAAAGTTATTCAGTTTATTATTCTGCATAACATAGTTT